AAATAATTTTTCTAAAACAAGAATTTAGTGAGAAGTGTCATTGTTTTATATTTTTACAAATCTCAACATCTGGCCTCATTTTTTAAAAACCAGAAATATTCTCATCTGCTTCTGCATGCAGTCTTTTGCAGTATCAGTATAGACTCTATGAGAGAGTTAATAGTGGAAAAGGCAGATAACCTTGTAGTACCATTTTGAAAATAATTTTAACCTCACAGGCCCCATGGTGTCCTCAGATCATACTTTGAGAACAGCTGGTATAGATGGTTTGTAGTGTTTTGCCATTACAGACTCCACTAATGAAATCTTTATCCATATACCTTGGCACTCATCTGAGGATGTAGGGTAATTTCCTAGAAGAAGAGTGGTTGGCCCAAAGAAATATGTTTAAATGTTGGGTAGGTGAAGATGATTAAATTTTCAGTCTTGTTACTGGTAAATGAGTATTAAGGACTCATCTTTCTGAGGAAGTCCAAGTGTACATATCAATTAGTAGACATTAGAATTTGTTAGCAATGATAGATTCCACAGTAACAGATGTAGTTAGAAGTACTGATCCCTTCCTCTTAGCTGAGCAGTCTCTTGATTTCCATACTCTGTATTTCCTTTCTCATATTTCAGGTTGGAAGTGGGGAGACCTTTCTCAAGTCTCAATGTTGGGAGTTTTCTTAAATTGGAGTGTAGGATTTCCTTTCTTTGGTCTTTGTAACAGTGTCTTTCTCAGATGTGTGGGAAAAGGTATCTGTGTGTGTGTGTGTGTGTGTGTGTGTGTGTGTGTGTGTGTGTGTAAGAGATTGCTCTTGGGAGATAAGGGCATCTGTTTCATTGGAGAGGTTAGATGTGTTTCTCAAATGAGTTTGGGTGAATGGGGTCTGTCTTGAGTGTGTGCTTCAGTTATTAAGTTCCACTAGACATAACAGTTACCAGAAACATGTGTTGTTCCTAGTTAGAGCTTTCTCTACCTCCCCCTTAATGTTGCTGAGGTCTCCTGCCAAAAATCATCTTCATTTCTCTCTTGTCATCTCTGCTACCATGATATTAAATAAATCCCTCTCCTAAAGTTGAACTCTGTATCCCCCTCCATACCCATACATTAGTAGGATGGAATTACTGTTCCTAATACTGTAGCTATAGCAACAAAATACAGACAAACTTGTTGGAGGGAAGGATTGTGTTAATTCATATTAACACTCAGCTGGACCTTTTATAGTTGATTGGTGAAGTGTTAATAACTTGGCTCAATAAAACCTATTAGGTGATGGGGGGGGAACCTAATAGCTAGATTAGGAGTAAACATAGTATTTTGTCTTTTATTTATTGTCTTACTGAGCCCTAAGTTGAAAGACTGTTTCCTATGGTCTAGTCTTTATTGCCTACTTATCTCTCTGGGAATATGGTATTGGGGGATCAGAGCTGGACTTCCTAGACTAAAACTGTGTGATATGGCTGAAAAGAGAGTTTCAGGGGTTACTTCCCTCTAATATCCTGAATGGCCCAGAAAAAAAGAAATTTTCCAACACCAGAAGCTTCTAAAATGCTTGTTTTAGCCAGGACTTTGGAAGGGAATATATCAGACCTTTTTGTTTGTTTGTTTTCCCTTTCCAATTTTCCTGACCCTGTAAACACTACTGAGAGAGTTTTGAAGAAATTGCAAAAGGGACTAGTACTTGAGAAATAACTGCTAATCGGGATTGGGTGGCTGACAATGTCATACCACTGCACTGCTGTGGTTTTTAAAAACTGTAAAAGGCATGTGTTTTTTGAAAGTACAACTTGAATAACAACCTCAATCCCCTGTGCTATGTGTTTTTGACTTGTTAAATTAAGAAAAAACTTTTGAATTGCAGTATAATACATCAAAAAGGTATACAAATCATAAGTATTCAATTTGATGAATTTTCAAAAAATAAGCAGCACACGATTGAAGAAACAACATAACCAGTATTCTAGAAGCCTACTTCATGTTCCTCCCCAGTCACTATCCTACTGAGAGATAACTGCTAGCCTAATGATAAGGTTAACTTTGCCACTTTGTGAGCTTTGTGTAAATGGAATTCTGTGGTAAATACCTTTGTCTCAGCTGTCTTTTACTCAGTTTTGTAAAATTAATATCTGTTGTGTTCACACTTTGATTCATATATTTTGTGGTATCCATTGTATAAATGTTTATACTTTACCCTTTCCTTTTTTTTGAGACTGGGTCTTGTTCTGTGCCTAGGCTGGAGTGCAGTGGCATGATCTTAGCTCCCTGCAACCTGCATTTCCCAGGCTCAGGCAATCTTCTCAGCTCTACCTCCTGAGCAGCTGGGACTACAGGCATGCGCTGCCATGGTTGGCTAATTTTTTAGATTTTTATGTAGAGACAAGGTGTCCCTATATTGCCTAGGCTGCACTTTACCTGTTTTGTTTTATTTTTGTTTTAACAGCTTTTGCATACTATATAATTCAGCCATTCAGAATGTACAGTTCATTGTTTTTTAGTATAATCACAGGTTTGTGCAACCGTCACCACAATCTAATTTTAGAACATTTTGTCTCTGAAAAAAATCACGTGCCCATTAGCAGTCACTACCCACTTTCACTTCCTCCTAGCCCTAAAAATCTCTATTCAGTTTTCCGTCTAAGTTTACCTGTCTGGGCCGGGAACAGTGGCTCACACCTGTAATCCCAGCACTTTGGGAGGCCAAGGCAGGCGTATCACTTGAGGTCAGGTGTTTGAGACCAGCCTGGCCAACATGTTGAAAACCTATCTCTACTAAAAATACAAAATTAGTCAGACATGGTGATGCACACCTGTAGTCCCAGCTACCCAGGTGGCTGAGGCAGGAGAATTGCTTGAACCTGGGAGGCAGAGGTTGCAGTGAGCTCAGATCCCACCACTGTACTCCAGCCTGGGCAAGAGCGAGACTGTCCCAAAAATATAAATAAGTAAATAAATTAATTTACCTATCTGGACATACATGGTATTTTGTGATGGGCTTCTTTAATTTCACGTTTTCAAGGTTTATGCATATTGTAATGTGTTAGGTTTTCATTACTCTGTGTAGCTGAATATATACCACATTGTATTTATCTGTTCATCTTTTGCTGTTGTAAATAACCTTGCTAGGAACATAAATGTACGAGTTTTTGTTTGGACATAACATTCATTTCTCTTAGATATATACTGAAGAGGGGAATTGCAAGGTAGCTCTGCTTAACTTTTTGAGGAACTGCCAAACTTTTCCAAAATCGATGCCTCATTTTATATTCCTAGGAGCAAACGTATGAGGCTTTCTATTTCTCCACAGCCTTGTCACTACTTTTTATTGTCTTTTTAATTGTAGACATCGTAGTGGGTATTAAATCGTATCTCCTTTGTGGTTTTTGTTTTTGTTTGAGACAGTCTCGCTCTGTCTCCCAAGCTGGAGTGCAGTGGTTCAATCCCGGCTCACTGCAGTCCACCTCCCGGATTCAAGCGATTCTCCTGCCTCTGCTTCCGGAGAAACTGTGTTTACAGGCTTGCACAGCCATGCCCAGCTAATTTTCTGTGTGTCTTTAGTAGATATGGGGTTTTACCATGTTGGCCAGGCTACTTTCAAACTCCTGACCTCAAGTGATCCACCTTCCTCTCTGCCTCCCTAAGTGCTGGTATTACAGGTGTAAGCCACCACACCCCAGCCTCCTGCCCTCTGCTTCTGTTCCCACTTTGTGTGAGCCTGGCCCTTATTTATGGGTTTCATTTGTATTTCTTTAATGACTAATGCTGAGCATCTTTCCATATGCTTACTAGTTGTTTGTATATCCTTTTTGGATAAACTTCTATTCAAATTCATTGTCCACTTTTTAATGTTGAGTTGTAAGAGTTCTTTATATATTTTGGATACAAGTTCTTTACCAGATAAATGGTTTCTAAATCTTTTATTCTATGGGTTTTCTTTTTACTTGATGGTATTGTTTGCATCACAAACAAAAGTTTTTAATTTTGATGATGCCTAATTTTTTATTTTATGTAGGCCGTACTTTTGTAAGATTGGCCGAGGCAGGCGGGTCACCTGAGGTCAGGAGTTCGAGACCAGCCTGACCAACATGGAGAAACCCCGTCTCTACCAAAAATTGAAAAGTAGCCTGGTGTGGTGGTGCATGCCTGTAATCCCAGCTACTCGGGAGGCTGAGGCAGGAGAATCACTTGAACCCAGGAGGCAGAGGTTGCACTGAGCTGAGATCATGCCATTGTACTCCAGCCTGGGCAACAAGAGTGAAACTCCATCTCAAAAAATAATAATAAGATTGATTCATAATGTACTTTATATACTTTATGATTTCAGTGGAGAATAATAGAATGCAATTTTTATTCTAGTAATTAAAACAATAAAAGACTACAAAGGTAGTTAGGAGACTTTTATACTTTTTAAAAAATTCTATATTAAAAATATATAGGATGGGGTCTCACTATTGAGACCAGGCTGGCCTCAAGTGATCCTCTCATCTCAGCCTCCCAAAGTGCTGGGATTACAGGCTGAGCCACTGCACCTTACCTTTGTTTTTTGAGATAGGATCTCTTATCACCCAGTCTAGAGTGTAGTGGCGCAATCATGGCTCACTATAGTCTTGAAATCCTGGCTCAGACAATCCTCCTGCCTGTCTCTTGAGTATCTAGGACTATAGGCATACACCACTTCATCCAGCTAATTTATTTTTTCTCTCTTTATTTATTTGTTTTTTGAGGCAGAGTCTCACTCTGTAGCCCAGGCTGGAGTGCAGTGATGCAATCTCATCTCACTGCAACCTCCACCTTCTGGGTTCAAGTGATTGTCCTGCCGCATTCTCCCAAGTAGCTAGGATTACAGGCGCCAGCCACCATGCCCGGCTAATTTTTTTATTTTTAGTAGAGATGGGGTTTAACCTTGTTGGCCAGGCTGGTCTCAAACTCCTGACCTCAAGTGATCTGCCAGCCTCAGCCTCCCAGAATTGTTGGGATTACAGGTGTGAGCCACCACACCCGGCCTATTTTTTCTTACTTTTATTTTATTGTTATTTTTGCAGAGGTAAGTCCCGCTTTATTAGCCAAGTTGTTCAAAAAGTCCTGGCCTCAGAAAATGGTGCATAAAGAGAATTGAAGGGGCATTGGAAGATATATTTTGATTAATCTGGTCAAAAGTTGGAAAAAAGGAAGATTAAAACAGTATTTTCTTTAAAATATGAGAATGCTTATCTTAGCCTCCTAAGCCAAAACCAGTTTTTGGAAAGAAAGCCCAAAGAAATGGGGTCTGTGGGGAATACAGGTGGAAAAATATATATGGATAATGTTTAGTTAACTTAAGTACTCAAAGGATAAGAAAGAGATTTTGGATTAATCAGGTCGCCTGTCCTAGACATAGTGGTAGGTTGGTGTGAAGTGGAAAGCTATTTATGTGCATAGGACATACACAAATTGAATTATCAGAATTTGGTTAATTTACTGTGGTTATTGGTACTGTTTTGAGCACACAGTAGTGAATGGTCATTAAATCACTATTATTGGACAGTATCATAAAACAAATGAATTTTGATGTAAAAGCAAACTAAATTTGGAAATGTTAAGAGCACTCTTAGCCATCTAGCCACTATTTGGAATGGGTAAAGCAATTGTTAAGTATAATATGAGAAGAAATGAAAGCTCTGTATGAGAGACAGTTGCAGAGGAAACTGCTTTTTTTCAAATGTTTTGGGCCAGAGTTTGTCTTCAAGTAGTACTTGCAGGTGTAAACTAGAACTGGTAGATGAGAGGAGAAGGGTATTGGAAGTCATATAGTATATCAGATATTTTAATCAAGGTCATCTGGCTTCACACTGTGCTGTTTAACTGCCTTGTGCTGCCCATAATTTGGTAGATTTCTGTGTTATCCAGTCCTTACTCATCAGATTATCGTGTCTTTCCTGTTCAAAGTAAGCACATGTATAAAACATTTATTGACTGGGTGCAGTGGCTTGTGCCTGTAATCGCAGCATTTTGGGAGGCCAAGATGGATATATCATTTGAGCCCAGGAGTTCAAGAACAGCCTGGGCAACAGAGTGAGACCCCATCTGTTCAAAAATTTAAAAATCAACCAGGCATGGTGGCTGGTACCTGTAGACCCAGGTACCCAAAAGGTGGAGGTTACAGTGAGCTGAAATCGCACAATTGCACTCCAGCCTGGGCAACAGATCCTAGACTCTGTCTCATAAAAAACATTTTTTGGGTTACAAGTTGCTGTAATTAAACTTATATTGTTTTAAAAATAATTTTTCTATAACTGAAGTTGAGTGTGCATCAAATGTTCAAAAAAGGAAATACAGCTGGGCACAGTGGCTTGTACCTGCCATCCTAGCACTTTGGGAGGAATGGGGAGTGGGAGGATCACTTGAGCCTAGGAGTTGGAGACCAGCCTGGGCAACATAGCGAGACTCTTATCTCTACAAAAAATGGAAAAAATATTTTTGGAGGATGGGCACAGTGGCTAATATGTGTAATCCCAGCACTTTGGGAGACTGAGGCTGGTCAGGAGTTCAAGACCAGCCTGACCAACATGGTGAAACCCCGTCTGTACTAAAAATACAAAAAATAAGCTGGGTGTGGTGGCACACACCTGTAATCCCAGCTGCTTGTGAGGGCTGAGGCAGGAGAATCTCTTAAACCCAAGAGGCGGAGGTTGCAGTGAGCCAAAATTGCATCACTGCATGCCAGCCTGGGCGAAAAAGCAAGACTCTGTCTCAAAAAATAAAATAATATTTTTTGACTGGGCAGGGTGACTCATACCTCTCTAATCTCAGCACCTTGGGATCATTTGAGTTCCAGAATTCCAGACCAGCCTGGCTAATACAGCAAAACCCCATCTCTACTAAAAATACAAAAATTAGCCAGACCTGTAATCCTAGCTACTCGGGAGGCTGAGGCAGGAGAATCATTTGAGCCTGGGAGGCAGAGGTTGCAGTGAGCCAAGATCACGCCACTGCACTCCAGTCTGGGCAACAGAGTGAAATGCTGTCTCAAAAAAATAATGTATTTAAAGGAAATATGTATGTATGTATATATGTAAGGGAATATAATTTTGCTGATTTACGGTAACATAATGGATTATCTTTTTCTGTTTCCTAGGTTCTCTACTTTTAGAGTCCAAAATAAATCCTAACACTGCATACCAGAAACAACAGGTAAAATTTTGATGATGTATTTTATCTTGCATATTTTCCTTTCACTTGGTGAGTAAATGAAAGTTTATCATCTGATTCCCTGCGTGAAAATTTTAGAACAAATTACAACAGTTTGCCAGTCAAATTCTCAAATAGGATTTCTGCCAGTTTCTATAGTGTTTAACATAATAATTTTAAATTTAAAAAGCTTGCCACTAGTTAAAATGGAGTTTTTGTCACACATAACAGCAACTGAGCCCTAAAGTTTTCTCATTTTTACCTAACAAAAAAAGGTGACCATTGATGTGATAAGCTGATACTAACACAATTAAATGGTGAAAATTCCTCCTTTGCCGTTGTAGACTATAGTGCAGAAGGAACATTTTAGTATCTCCTACAGCAGCACTGTGTAGATAGGAATCTGTCATATGAATCTGATTTCTTTTACAGATTCTTTAATATGGTCTTATGATATTACAGTTTTGAAGGTAACTGTACTTCACAGTACAGTGTACTCAAAGTATACTGTTTTTTAAACCTTTGTAATATACAAAGAAATATCAGAAAGTAAATCTCTCACTTAGTATCAACTAGTGCTGTCATTAAATGGTATTAATTCAGTACACACACGCACGCACGCTTGTACTTCAGTACACCCACACACACAAAGATGAGTGCTCTGTATAGCCAGTGAAGTCAAGATCAGTTCCTTCATTGTCCTGAAGATGCAGGTACAAAATAGTTAATTTTGAAGAAGGAATATTACCAACTTGTTCATAAAGTGCTTTGCTTCATCATTGACCTTTAAAATCCTAGAGAGAAGTTAGTATTGGTTTTAGTTTTTCCATTAGATGATGCGTAAAGGTTGTGACTTGTTTGATATTACACAAATAGTGGATAGGAATGCTGTTATCAACTCATAAATATATTTAGTGATTTATTTGTCCACCAAACATTCGTACAATATATTTTCTTAATGGTTTAGTAGTCTAATACAATACTGTGATGCATTTAGTGTTCTTAAGAAAGCTTAAATTTGATGGAAAAATATAGAGCCTAGAATATTTGGCTTTGGTCTTCCATACTTAAATACATTAAATTTGTGTTTTGAAGTTGTATGCAGCTGAAGAGTAAAAGCATATCTTAAGAAAAAGGAAAGATTGAACTTGTTTTGAGAATGAATGAATAAATTCATGTGTCTCAAGCCTATAGGTTGTTGGGTGATAATCAAGATAATTTGAAGAAAAGTCGCTGTAATCTTCAAGGAAATTAGAATTAGAAGAATTTCAAGGAAGATTCCTTGAAAATCTAGAATCTTCAAGGAAAACAGAAAGCAGTTTCTAAAATTTTATAAACTTGCTAAATTTGTCAAATGGGTGGGTAATTAAAAGCATATGTCTAGCTCTGCCCGGACTTAAGCATCAGCCTGCAAATGGTTCTGAATACACATTATAACAGAATGTGATAGTGGCTTTACTTATCCTAGTAGCCTTTATTGAGCTGATAATTGTAAATATTTATCAGAATTTTAGGAGCCATCTAATTTGGGCGAGTTATTCCCCTCACTCCCAATACAATTGTTATTTTCCCCCAACTTTATTTTCATCACTAAGAAGTAGTACACTATGTTATCACTAGTTTTCATAACAGTATGTATCTTTCCCATTCTAATGATGAGGAAACTGAGGCTCAGAGAGATTACCTAACTTTCTAAGCATCACCTACCACATAGATGGTGGTATTAGAATTTATACTGTGGCCTCTTTACCTCCTAAATTTCTTAGTATTTTTATTCTATGCCATTTTGAGGGAAAATAACAACTTTAATTTTGTCTTACGTGGAGCCTTATAATATAAAGTGCTCAGTATCTACTGAACAGATGACCTTGTAAAGTATTTAGGCTGCCAGATTATAGATTAACTGCAAATTCTTCTGCAAGTTCTGTCCTGGTGAATTATAAAGGGAAACTAAAAATGAAACCTTACTAATTTCTGGCGTGTTGATCTTAGAATGTTAATAGTTTTGAGCTTGAACTGCTCCTCAGTCTGGATCAGATTGCCTGCCTGGGGTCTGTGATATCTGAAAGTCCTTTAAGATGGTATAAAAAGGGGAGTTTGAGGTGTTTCCCAAAATTCTGAATAAAAATTATGGACTTAGTGATGCTGCACAGCCAAGTCAGATTCTTACTTACTTATTTCTGGCTGGTAGCACTTTAGTTCAGTGAGACTACTGGTCTCATGATTGACAGTTATATAATTGACTGAACAGAGTAAATATGTGGTTTAGCAGATAAATTTCTCTTTTTTTTTTTTTTTTCTTTTTTTTTTTTAAGAGATGGGGTCTTGCTATGTTGCCCAGGCTGGAGTACAGTGACTATTCATAGGTGTGATCATAGTGCACTGCAGCTTCTACCTCCTGGCCTCAAACAATCCTCCTTCCTCAGCCTCCTGACTAGCTGGGACTACAGGGATACTCCATTGTGCCTCACATAGGCTAATTTTTAAACATGGTATCCATCTGTGTTACATTAAGAAGTGTCCTTGCCTGGGAATAGTGGCTCACGCCTGTAATTCTAAAACTTTTAGAGCCTGGCAGTTTGAGACCAGCCTGGGCAACATGGCAAAACTCCATCTCTACAAAAAATAAAAACATTGGACGTGGTGGCACATGCCTGTAGTTCTAGCTACTTGGGAGGCTGAAGTGGAAGGACCACCTGAGCCTAGGGAGGTAGAGGCTGCAGTGAGCCATGATGGTGCTACTACACTGCAGCCTGAGTGACATAGGGAGACACTATCTAAAAAAAAGGTAGTGTCCTTGCTAGTGAGAACGATTAGAAACCACTGCAATAGAACCATAGGTCCTTTAAGGAACCTTAAACTAGTCTCAGTACGGGAACCTTTATCATCCTGATGGATGCCCAGTCAGCCTTTGCATGGTTCTTTTTGGTTACTTACTATTCAGATTGAATTATTTTTTTCTTTATAACATACTCAAATCCATCTTTTAATCTTCTAAATTCTCTTTGGACCAGCTTGAAAAAACAATGACATGGTCCTTCAGATTTTGAAGATAGCCATTAAATGTAACTCTCCCTAGTACCATTCACCATTTCTTCTGTGAGATTATTTATGGGCTGCTGTCAATGAGACGGGCCCTTTTTTGAAATAGTCGATTGCTATCAAACAGTATGTATATTTATTTATTGCCAGTAAGATTTGGAAGGATATGAATATATATATGTGTTGTGGGATTTTTTTTTTGAGATGGAATGTCACTGTGTAACCCAGGCTGGAGTGCAATGGTGCAGTCTCATCTCGCTGCAACCTCCATCTCCTGGGTTCAAGTGATTCTTTCACCTCAGCCTCCCATGTAGCTGGGATTACAGGCATCGACAATCATGCCTGGCTGAATTTTTTTTTGTATTTTTAGTAGAGATGGGGTTTCACCGTGTTGGCCAGGCTGGTCTTGAACTCCTGACCTCAGGTGATCTGCCTGCCTAGGCTTCCCAAAGTACTGGGATTAGAGGTGTGAGCCACTGCACCTGGCCAACAGGATCTATTAGACATTATAAATATTTTGACTCTATAATTTTTTTTTTTTTTTTTGAGGCAGAGTTTTGTTCCTGTTGCCTGGACTGGAGTGCAGTGGCTCAGCCTCAGCTCACTGCAACCTCTGCCTCAAAGGTTCAAGCGATTCTTCTGCCTCAGCCTCCTAAGTAGCTGAGATTACAGGTGCACACCACTACGCCCAGCTAATTTTTGTATTTTTAGTAGAGATGACCAGGCTGATCTCAAACTCCTGACCTCAGGTGATCCACCCGCCTGAGCCTCCCAAAGTTCTAGGATTACAGGTTTGAGCCACTGTACCCAGCCAAATATTTTTATTATACCATGCATATTGTAGAATATATACTCTGTACTATGAGGAATATAAAATGGTCTCAGTATTGCATGTGCAGTATCTTGCTGAGATTACATTTAAATAAAAACTCTTGAACTGTTTATTAAACTTTCATTATTAAGTTCTGTCTAGATGGCCAGGCACTGTGGCTCATGCCTGTAATCCCAGTGCTTTGGGAGGCCAAGGCAGGAAGGCCTAGGCAAGGAGCTCAAGACCAGCGGCAAGACCCCGCCTCCATTTCTACAAAAAATAAAACTAAGAAGTTCTGAATTGGAATGAAAGGGTGGTAGGTGCTAGGAGTTTGCTCCTTCTTGAACCACAGCACTTTGCTAAGCTTTTTTTTAAAAACACCTATGTGCAGGTAACTGCTCATGTACTACAAATTTAGCGAATAATTTTAAGGGCTTCATGGATCTCAGAAGCCCCAGGTGGAACACACCTGCTGACAATAGAGAGAAGAGAGAAAGTTTTATTAACCCTATTGTCTTAACATGCCCTAGTTATTTTATGCTTAGATGTCCTCTTTGGCATTTTAATGAGAGAGTAAAATGTAAGTCATGATGCTTGCATACCATTGGTATAATGTTTTGTTTTTATCTTTTGTAGTGCATGAACAGAATATATTTCATAGATTGGTTTAAGTTGTCGTTAAGGAAACACTAATTTTATAGATTGGGGAAGTGAAGTATAAAAAGTCATTGTTTTGAAAAAGAAAGACATTGATAATGGCCAATATTAGTGTTGGAAAAAGTAAAAACAAGCACTGTTTCAGTTCCTTTTCTTTGTTCATTTTCATTTGTGATAATGTATGTTAATTATTCAGACTCCTTTTATGTCTCCAAAGGACACTCTGATTGTGTGGTCTGAAGCAGAAAATTATGACTTGGCCCTTAGCTTTCAAGAAAAAGCTGGATGTGATGAAATTTGGGAGAAAATATGTCAGGTAATTTTTTAAAATAGAAAATAAGCATGCCTTCTCTTTTTAAGTGTTTAGTTTTTTGCCATGCTTTTAACTAATGCTCAAGACTTTAAATAAATTTCAAATCAATCTTTTAAATCACTGCTGTCTTTGAAAAAGTTTGATTTAAAGGAAGGTATAATTTATTGACATTAAACTCTCTAGCTCATACCTTTGCAAACTCCAGTGTTTTATATCCAACTGCCGTTTTGAAATTTTCTCCTTGCGTGTTCACTAGCATCTTCAGTTTAGTACTCCAAACCAAACATAATCTTCTCACATAAATCTATCCCATCTCCTTCTCAGTAAGTGCCATCCGGTTGCTTACGTCAGAAATTTGTGGATCGTGTTTATCCTTCTGTCATCCCTTATATCCATTCAGTCCCTCAATAATAAATCTAGATCCATTGGCTTATCTTCATTTTCACTGTCATAGTTTTCCAAGCCATTGTCATTTTTTGCCTGGTTTATTGGTTTTATCTTGACTTATATTCCTAAATCAACATTTTAGCTAGAGTGATTAGGTAATCATTTTTTATTTTTTATTTTTAAAAGACAGTAGAGAGAGAGGAAAAACAAAGAGAGGAGAGACAGAGAGGAGAGAGAGGGGGAGAGAGAGGAAGGAAGATGATCTTTTTTAAAATGCAAGTCTGATCGCATCACGCTTTGTTTTTAACTTCTTGTGGCCCCTGAAAGAAGACCCACCCTTGTACTTGTCTTGAGCAGTATGGCTCTTGACTGTTCAACCTTACCCAGCCTCTAAGCTTGAATGTTTTTAATTTACTCTGGAGTTTCCCTAGAAACATAATCACAATATTTTGTTAATGAGCATTTGTATGTGCTCTAGTAGCTAAATGCAATTGGCTCTTGTTATACACTCGTTTAGGCCATTTTTTTCTAGAGAAGGTTTCTTCATCTCCATGTTTACCTTATCTGGAGAATAATCTTCACCAGATTCCTTAATTCCTTTGAGTGTGGCCCTCAAACCAGCAGCATAAACATGACCTGGGAACTGATAGAAATGCAAATTCTGAGACCATCGCTGCCCCCCTGACCCCAGACCTACTGAATCAAAAACTTAGAGTAGGGTCGAATTGTTGTTTTTTAAAATCCTTTGTTTAGGAATTCTGTTTTCACAAGCCCTATAGGCCAGACTTTTCTCTGTAAAGGACAAGATGGTAAATATTCAAGGATTTGCAGGCCTTACAGTCTCTTGTCATAGCTAGGTCAACTCTGCTAATTTAGTTTGGAAGTAGCCATAGATAGCACATAAATGAATGAATGAGAGAGGGGCTGTCTTCTAGTAAAACTTATTTACAAAAACCAGTAGCAGACCAAATTTGGCTGTAATTTGTCACCCTCTGCTTTTGGTGATTCTGATGTACCCTGAAGTTTGAGAGCCACAGCATTCACAGAAGATATACTATCCTTAGCACAGTGTTTCTTTCTTTCTTTCTTTTTTTTTTTTTTGAGACGGAGTTTCACTCTTGTTACCCAGGCTGGAGTGCAATGGCGCGATCTCGGCTCACCGCAACCTCCACCTCCTGGGTTCAGGCAATTCTCCTGCCTGGGCCTCCTGAGTAGCTGGGATTACAGGCACGCACCACCATGCCCAGCTAATTTTTTGTATTTTTAGTAGAGACGGGGTTTCACCATGTTGACCAGGATGGTCTCGATCTCTTGACCTCGTGATCCACCCACCTCGGTCTCCCAAAGTGCTGGGATTACAGGCTTGAGCCACCGCGCCTGGCCGTGTCTTTCTTTTTTTTAAAGAAATTTTTATTTATTGCATTTTAGGTTTTGGGGTAAATGTGAAGAACATGCAAGATTGTTGCATAGGTACACACATGGCAGTGTGATTTGCTGCCTTCCTCCCCTTCACCTATATCTGGCATTTCTCCTCATGCTCTCTCTCCCCAAGTCCCCACCCCCCGCTGCCCCTCCCCTATTTCCCCCCTGACAGACCCCAGTGTGTGATGCTCCCCTCCCTGTGTCCATGTGTTCTCATTGTTCAACAGCCACCTATGCGTGAGAACATGTGGTGTTTGATTTTCTGTTCTTGTGTCAGTTAGCTGAGAATGATGGTTTCCAGGTTCATCCATGTCCCTACAAAGGACACGCACTCATGGTTTTTTTATGGCTGCATAGTATTCCATGGTGTATATGTGCCACATTTTCCCTGTCCAGTCTATCATCGATGGCATTTGGGTTGGTTCCAGGTCTTTGCTATTGTAAACAGTGCGGCAGTGAACATTCATGTGCATGTGTCCTTACAGTAGAATGATTTATAATCCTTTGGACATATACCCAGTAATGGGATTGCTGGGTCAAATGGAATTTCTGTTTCTAGGTCCTTGAGGAATCGCCACACTGTCTTCCACAATGGTTGAACTAATTTACACTCCCACCAACAGTGTAAAAGTGTTCTTATTTTTCCACATCCTCTCTAGCATCTGTTGTCTCCAGATTTTTTAATGATTGCCATTCTAACTGGCATGAGATGGTATCTCAATGTAGTTTTGATTTGCATTTCTCTAATGACCAGTGATGATGAGCATTTTTTCATGTGTTTGTTGGCCTCATATATGTCTTCTTTTGTAAAGTGTCTGTTCATATCCTTCGCCCACTTTTGAATGTGCTTGTTTGTTTTATTCTTGTAAATCTGTTTTAGTTCTTTGTAGATTCAGGGTATGAGCCCTTTGTCAGATGGGTAGATTGCAAAAATTTTTCCCATTCTGTTGGTTGCTGATTCACTCTAATGACTGTTTCTTTTGCTGTGCAGAAGCTGTGGAGTTTGATTAGGTCCCATTTGTCTATTTTGGCTTTTGTTGCCAATGCTTTTGGTGTTTTGGTCATGAAGTCCTTGCCTATGCCTATGTCCTGAATGGTTTTGCCTAGATAAAACCCAGTTTTCTTCTTGGGTTTTATGGTGTTAGGTGTTATGTTTAAGTCTTGAATCCATCTGGAGTAAATTTTAGTGTAAGGTGTCAGGAAGGGGTCCAGTTTCTGCTTTCTGCACGTGGCTAGCCAGTTTTCCCAACACCATTTATTAAACAGGGAATCCTTTCCGCATTGCTTGTTTTTGTGAGGTTTGTCAAAGATCAGATGGTTGTAGATGTGTGGCGTTGCCTCCGAGGCCTCTGTTCTGTTCCATTGGTCTCTATCTCTGTTTTGGTACCAGTAGCATGCAGTTTTGATTACTGTAGCCTTGTAGTATAGTTTGAAGTCCAGTAGTGTGATGCCTCCAGCTTTGTTCTTTTTGCTTAGACTTGACTTGTCTATGCGGCCTCTCTTTCGGTTCCATATGAAGTTTAAGGTGTTTTTTTCCAGTTCTGTGAAGAAGGTCATTGGTAGCTTGATGAGGATAGCATCGAATCTGTAAATTACTTTGGGCAGGATGGCCATTTTCATGATATCGATTCTTCTAACCGTGAGCATGGAATGTTTCTCCATCTGTTTGTGTCCTCTCTTATTTCACTGAGCAGTGGTTTGTAGTTCTTCTTGAAGAGGTCCTTTACGTTCCTTGTTAGTTGTATTCCTAGGTATTTTATTCTCTTTGTAGCAATTGTGAATGGCAGTTCGTTCTTGATTTGACTCACTTTAAGTCTGTTATTGGTGTATAGGAATGCTTGTGATTTTTGCACATTGATTTTGTATCCTGAGACTTTGCTGAAGTTGCTTATCAGTTTCAGGAGATTTGGGGCTGAGACGATGGGGTCTTCTAGATATACAATCATGTCCTCTGCAAATAGAGACAATTTGACGTCCTCCTTTCCTAATTGAATACCCTTTATTTCTTTTTCTTGCCCGATTGCTCCGGCTAGAACTTCCAATACTATATTGAATAGGAGTGGTGAGAGAGGGCATCCTTGTCTAGTGTCAGATTTCAAAGGGAATGCTTCCAGTTTTTGCCCATTCAGTATGATATTGGCTGTTGGTTTGTCGTAAATAGCTTGTATTATTTTGAGATACGTTCCATCAATACCTAGTTTATAGAGGGTTTTAGCATAAAGTGCTGTTGAATTTTGTCAAAGGCCTTCTCAGCATCAATTGAGATAATCATGTGGTTTTTGTCTTCGGTTCTGTTTATGTGGTGAATTATGTTTATAGGCTTGCATATGTTGAACCAGCCTTGCATCCCCGGGATGAAGCCTACTTGATCATGGTGGATAAGCTTTTTGATGTGCTGCTGCAATCGGTTTGCCAGTGTTTTATTGAAGATGTTTGCATCTATGTTCATCATGGATATTGGCCTGAAGTTTTCTTTTCTTGCTGAGTCTCTGCCGGGTTTTGGTATCAGGATGATGTTGGTCTCATAAAATGATTTGGGAAGGATTCCCTCTTTTTGGATTCTTGGGAACAGTTTCAGAAAGAATGGTACCAG